CTGCCTTAGTTTGATTTTTTTTTTTTTTTCCGATTGTGCAAGGAATTCTGAGGTGACCCTCAGCCAAAAGTTGTTTGCAACTTTGCAGTCCAATTACAATTACTTGTACAGAATCTACACATCATACTTTTTTTACAGTGTTTTTTTTTTTAATCCCTCCCCCTGCTGCAGCTGCTCTTATCCCGCCCAACATCCTGCCTGGCTGGGCATGTGTCCGGACACAGGCGGTCCACGGAGAAACAGCCTATCTGTACGCAGTTTGCGGACTGCAGGAGCGGTATTTCGCTTGTGGCAGCAACTCTGATGCCAAATCCAAACCAACAAAAATCTGTCCTCCTTCGTGAAGGGGCTTGAGAATATGTACTGGGTTCATGGACCGCTGACTGCTACGGGTGGGGGGAAGTCCCCAGGCAGACACCGCTACCCTTGTACCTGACCGGCAAAGATCAGGAAGCCCCCAGGCGGACATGGCTATCCTGTATCTGACCTGCCGAGCCAAACAGGTGTTTTTTGGGTACCTTTATCATTCAAATTTCAAACTCGAATGGGACTTTCCAGAGTTAACTTTCCAGAGTTGTGATAGGAAAAACAAAAAAGTAGTATGGTAGGAAATAAGACAGCGAGCTAAAGGCATTTTACTGGCGCGAGGACTTCTTTCTAATTTCTTTTTGTTTTACCACATTGCCTGCTGTAGTACAGTTACTTTCTTTTGTACTTCATATCAAACTGAGTATGAAGCAGTTAAACAGAAGTCAGTTTGAGTTTAGGTAAAACCGTAAAAACTATGGCGAGGACTTTTTAAGTTTTTACTTTGGCAGCAATCCTGGCGAAACGTTGCCAAGGGAAGCGCCTTGCTTGAGTACTGGACCAGTGGTGCTTTCATATGATTTGTTCTGCCCAGGTGGCTGGCGCTATGGCATTTTCTCTGGCTTGGCACAACCAATGTTGTTTACCCTCCTAAATGAAGTTCGGATCGATGACGGATGTCAAATGGGTATAGGACCACGTGGGCCTATTGGAATGGAGTGGATGATTGCGGAGTTCGTTACCTTAGGGCCTCGTAATGGGGGGCAGGGGCCGCAGGTGGGATGCTGAAGGAGGGTCTGTAGCGGAGGGATTGTTGGCTTCCCGTGACAAAAACCAGAGTGGGCGCAAATTATGACAGAGGTGGTGTGGGGGTCGGATGGGGTCGTGTACCTATTGATGAGCAAGACCAGAGCTATTCTGCATGATGACAGAATTCAAGACGACTAGAGGGGTCTAGTTGATGACCGTGGTATGGGGGGGGGGGGGGGGGGGGGGGGGGGGGGGGGGGGTGGATGGTGACCGTGTACATACCGATGAAGAGGCTAGAGTACCTATAGAAAATATCCAACCAATAATGACCAAGGGGTCTAGTGCACAGAAGGGGTCTAGTGTACAACCACACTGTGACTAGAGAGTAGCACTCTCCATGATGACAGATTTCAAGACAACTGGACGGGTCTAGTTGGCGACGGAGGTATGGGGGTGGATGATGACTGTGTACATAACGATGACAGAGGCTAGAGTACCTACAGGTAATATCCAACCGATAATGACCAAGGGGTCTAGTGGATGACCGAGGGGTCTAGTGTGTACAACCACACACCGACTAGAGAGTAGTAGAGGGGTCGAGTGGATGGCAAAGGTAGGGGGAGCAGATGGTGGCTGTACACCTGCTTATGGCTAATTGAGTACACCTAGGTCATATTAACAACATGACGAGAACAACCGACTGATCGATAACAGTTATGCTAGGTGGGTATACCCAGGTTACTCAGGGGGTGTCATAGGCTAGACCTTGGCTCGGCCGCGGGGAGGGGGGAGGGGGGGGGGGGGGGGGGGGGGGGGGGGGGGGGGGGGGGGGGGGGGGGGGGGGGGGGGACCGGCATTAGACAATGTCTGTGATGTGTTGGGGTTGTGCACGATTAGATCCATTCACTGGTGGAGCCTAGGTAAGTTTTGGGTCCATCAAGGGTCTACCCGTGGGGCTCGTGGAGAGAAGACTTACCTAACGCCCGGAGCACGCGCATATGGCAGGGCTCATTTGAGCATTTGCTTCAACCAGGGCTGACCGGGGTGGCTTCTCAGCCCTGAACCCCTCTCGGCCCTGGTGCCCGCAACCACTGTCCGGTTAGGTCACCCTGCCCCGTTGGTAGAAGGGTGATGACCCTGAGTGGTAAACACTGAGGTAGGAATGGGGAAGAGGGGATGGGGGGGGGGGAGACT